TTCATGTCTGAATCAGATTTAATAGCATGGAAGTGAATGAGATCACCTAGGGAGTGCATGTAGATAGGGAAGAAAAATCAGTCTGGAACTAATCCCTGGGGAGATGAGGAGTGGCCAGCCAAGGAGAGGGAGAAGAAGAAATGGAAAGCCAGAAGAGCATAATATTCAGAAGTCAAGTGACATAAGGACTTCCAAAAGGATGGAATGCTCTACTGCACCAATTCTTCTGTGAGGGCAGGAAAGATGAGAACTGAATGTTGACTATAGAATTTGCCATAATCAGAAGGTCACTGGTAAACTGACAATGGCCATTTATTTCAGTGGAGTGGAGGAAATGAAACATTTATTGAACAAAAATAAGTTAGAAAAGTAGGAGATGAGGAAGTGGAGAAAGTTAATGTAAGAGTTTCAAAGAGTTTTGGAAGGAATGTTAGCAAAGAACTGGAACACTCTTTGGAGAGTTAGTGGGCTTATGGATCGTGTTTTCTTTTAAGATAAAAGGAAAGAGAGCATGTTTGAATGCTGATTATAATGATGGTATAGAAGGAAGTTATGACACAAAAATTAATAGCAATAACTTCAGAGATAAGTCCTTAAGTAAGCTGAGAGATATGGGCACCAGTAGCCTCAGCCAGGCACTGCCTCGGTCTAGCCCTGGAGATATGAGGTGTGTACAGGTGCAGCTATACTCAGAGACCATAGATGAGGAAACATACCACATGTCTGTTTGGGTGGTCTGCCTACTGCCATGATTCTCAACCAGTAGATCCTGAGCACCAAAGCTAGTATTCTCTTGCCCAGAGCCTTCCCTTCCCACCCTGGAGGTTTCAGGCACATCAGATACCCCAGGACTCTAGAGAAGTGGTTCTCAAAGGAGGGTCCCCAGAGCAAATGCAAAAATGTCACATGGATACATATTAGAAAACCAATTTCTCAGACCCTGTACCAGAGTAACTGAATCAGAACTGGGGATGGGGCCTAGTAAGCCATGTATTAACATGCCTTCCAGGTATTCTAGTGTATGCTGATGTTTAAAAGTTGCTGTTCTAGAGGATGGGAGAAATGTTATGCAGGACGCTTCTAAAACACCCCCAGTTCTGAGTCACCCCCCCCCCCAGACACAGGCTCCTGTCCACAGACTTCCTGTGTACATGCCTACCAGCGCTCAATCCACCTCCCCTCTGACCATCTTCAAGAGCAACCTTGAAGCCTCAAAAAATAAAAACTTAGCCTTCCCAGTCTATATTCTTGCAGTGACCAAATCCATTCATGTAAATACCATTTTATACTAAAAAGCAAAGTTTCTCATTGCTATAAACAAAAAAATATATACTTGAGCACAGAGCTATTTTGCAGATGGCTTATTTTTTTGTTAGCAAGTCAATTCTGGTCATTAATAGACTGCATATATCAGAAAGATAAAATGCATTTATGTTTCTGAATATTAACTGCTTCTGAATATTATAAATATCTATGTCTAAAACAGTCCTACAAGACCAGGGGAATTTTCCTGCTACTGCTACTGGAGAAGGGCACATTGATGTGGATTCTTTGGGTAAGTAATGGAACACTAAAGAACCTTCTCAGGATATGGGGTAGGCAATCTGCATCTCGTTTTCCCAGCCAGTAAATTCTTCTGGAGGCTACAAATCTGTATGAAGAGGTGAGGATGGTACCTATCCGAAATATAATAGGCTGGTGCTATCAGAATACAATTTAAATTGTATTCTGGTTATCACTGGAATTGATCAAATTTTTAATGTAAAGAATAGCCTTTATCTCATGTTAAATGTGAAACTCATCTCAGTGGGAAGTATTATCAACTGTTTAATGTGCTCCCTTTACAACACGAGCCTCACCTTGCTCATATTAAAACCCCTTCCCTTTTAGTAAGATAAAATTAAAAAGAACTCCAGCCGAATATAATTAAAAACTGGGGCTATATGTCTTCCAAAGAACCGAGTGGTTTCTGCGTGGTAGGGAGCCCTGTGCGCTCTCCCACTGTGGCTAGGTTCATAAGTGCAGTGGAGAGAATCTGTGCTGATTATAATTACCTTCTAAATTAGCCAATATTAGCACTGCACCAAATCATTCACATGGCATTGTTTCCATGTTAGGCAATCAATTACAGTTCAGATGAATCCATGTAAAATCCATAATTTTTACTTAGGATCACAATTTTTGTAATTTAACATATTATTACAGCAGAGCATTCAAAAGATCAGGCAAAACAATGGAGAGCGATTTCCAGTTAGTAACTCTTCCTTCATTGTCACAAAAGGGTGAGAAAGCTGACTATATCCATGTGCTTTGTAGGCCCAGAATTTTAATTTATTTTGACACTCGCCTTACAGAATACTTTAAAATAGAGGACAATCCCCTCTGTATTCAGACAGGTGTACCAGGATGACAGGTGTCCCTTGTTAGAGGCTCCCGGGTTCACCTATCCATTGGGAGATTGCAGAGGTAGAGAAGGAACATCCCGGGCAACCACACCAGGTAACTGAGTACCTGCCCGAGGCCCAGTGAAGAATGGTTTTATATATTATCAAGTTTGAGATTTTAGCAGCACCCTGCTGCCCCCAGGAGTCCTACCTGTGGCACAGCATGATGGACTCATTCCATAGGTTCTATGGTCTGTCTCCTCCAAACCCATGTTTCAGGCCTGGAGAAACATCTTGTACTTTTCTTTCAATATACAAATAATATTCCCAGTGCCAAACCAACAGGTTAAATTTAGTCCCTAAATTCCTCAAATACAGTGAAAAGAAAAGCAAACTTCTGTTTTCAAACATAAAGGTTAGGATCTTATTTATTATCACATAATAGTCATGTCAACACATTTCCTCTAAACTTTTAGAATTAACCATCATCAGAATCTTCATGTTATTCACGCACCTGAAAATGTACACCACCAGAACTGTTTGTGTGTCTACAGCCAAGAAGACACAAGATGATAAATTCTGATGATAAGAGAATTAATTGGAAACTGAGCCTTAATATTGATAGTCAGGTCAAGATGGTTTGACATCAGCAAGCAGCATACACACCACTGTCCTGGCCCCAGACCTTAACTTTAATCACCAGACCTCCTCCTGGAGAGGCAGGCACCTCTGGAAAAGGCCCTGTGAGGACACCTGCTTCCTGGAGGGAAGAGAATCATAAATACCCCCTAACACCAAGGCGAAAAGGAGAGGGGTGGAGAAGGGAATGATCAAGACCAGGAAGCCCACATTGAGAAGGATGAGCTGAGGGAGCACTGCACTGGAGGCGTGGCTCGCACAGAGGCGGTGGGCATTGCCAGACAGCAGGGAGCCAGGTGGTGTCCCTTTGAAGGCCACCTGTTGTAGAGGTCCCGAGCCTGGATGCCAGGGCCAGGCTGCCCAGTTCAAATGCCACCTCCGCCGCTTACTAGATGCGGGAACAACAGCAAACTTCTCAACCTCTCTGTGCCTCTGTTTTCCTCTCTGTTAAAAGGGCATTCTAAAGGCACCCCTACAAACACACACAGTGTTGTCATGACTATCAAAAGTGTAAAAGCCTTAGATCTAGACTGGGCATGTGGGAGCAACATAGAAGTAAGGGTCTGCTCTTTTTCTCATTATTATCAAAAGCTGTCTCCATCTTAAAATTATAGGCACCCTTCCTGAACCTCCTGTAGAGGAGAGGAAGTAAGAAGACGCTGCTCTGGGGTTTTTTGCTGCTGCTTTTGTTTGTTTACACAGAATCTGCTCTGTTGTTAATAACTCCAGCACTCTGGTGGCACCCTGGGGAGAGAAGCGAGCCAGGTGGAAGGTAGTTGGGGTTGAGTTTACTTGAGTAACCTAGATAAATGCCTCTGTTCTCACTTTCCCTGGACGCGCCCTGCTGTACTGAAGAGAAGCAGCCAGGCGCTCGCGGGGACCGTGTCAGTCCATCAGCACCAGGCTCTGGCAGGGAGTCATTTGGATTCCGAAGCACAAGGCTCACTAATTGCTCAGGATTACTAACTAAGCTCTTTTTGACTCCTGGCTTCTCTTCTGTTTGTGTTGTGTCTTTATTGTTGTTGCTTCTTAGGGGATTTATATTTTGCAGAAAAGAAAAACTGTCTAAAATGCTTAGTAATTATTTCAAGAAAACACAACCTCTTTAGGATATAAACGTGTCCTAAATAATAAACATATGAGCCCAGCCAGTATGGCTTGGTGGTTGAATGTTGACCTATGAACCCAGAGGTCATGGTTGGATTCCCAGTTGGGATACATGCCTGGGTTTCCGGCTTGGGGTGTGGGAGAGGCAGTAGATCAATGATTCCCTCTCATCATTGATGTTTTTATCTCTCCCTCTCCCTTCCTCTCTGAAATCAATAAAAACATATTTAATAATAATAAACATATGGAACAAATAATATGTAATCAATATGCAGGTCTGTCCCTTTATTTTACTTAATGAGCTTATGATTCTGTCTTTTAAGAACCAGTGGAGAAGGACCAAGTTATTCATAACTCTGAAACAAAACAGAGAACATAAAATACACCAAATACGCAAATGGCAAGAGTGGTTTTTCTCTAATGTGTGATTCGCTGACTGACGCCTCCTGTGTGCTGGATAGTGTTACAGGTGCCTGTGAGAGTCGCGGGTGTGTAGCTGCATGGGTGTTGAGGGAGGTTGCAATAAAAGAAGCAAAATAAATAAGATACCTAACATGAGAGATTATGATCATGGCTATGGATTAAAATTAAGCAGGCAAAGGGAAAAGAACCAGGCATGTAATATATAGAGTTGGGGGAGGTCCCAATCCTATATAATAAAAGCCAGGTGGTGGCTGTTAAGCGTGGAGGCCTGGAGGAGTGTGCTTGCCTCTGCGGCATGGGATCTTCGCGGGGATGTCGGTATCGTCAGGAGCGCCAGGGCCCAGCTGAGAAGGCAGCGGCCCACAGCAAGCCGGCCCGGCAGAAAAGCACCTCGAGGTGAACACGGCAGCGCGGTGCTGTGCGGGGAGTGGAGGAATCGCGAGCCCCATGCCGCCCCCGCGCTGCTCTCTGCAGAACTTGCCAGTGGAGCTGCTGGTGGAGATCTTCGCCTCACTCCCCGGCACCGACCTGCCCAGCCTGACCCTGGCTTGCACCAAATTCTACCACATCCTGCCCATCGACAGCATCTGGAGACGGCGCTGCCGGGCAGAGTATGGCGTTCGTGAAACCTTGCCGAACCTAGAGATGATCGGTATGTCTTATCGAGAAGTCTATACGAAGCTGTTCCACCCATACAGACACATTTTGGGTTTGTGGCAGCTAGATCAGGGCTATAGAAGCTGCTGAATGTCGTGGTGGATGGCTTAGGCATTACTGGTTGGACGTGCAGGCCTTCCCTTAACCCCCATGGGGATGGCCCAATGCAATCCGAGCCCTCGTTCAGAATTCTCCTGATGGAGCGGAAATCAGCCGGTGGAGTGCAAGGCAGGCCGCCACCGCAGGCCCCACAACCTCCACATGCAGATTCAGAAGGACAGGTTCAACATCAAGACAGGCCACCGCAAGGATTCCCCAACGCGGCCTTGGGACGCATGGGGGCGGGTGCTGGTGCAGGAGGTCAGACAGCCATGTGACTGCCTGACCTACCGCCGCCTCTACCTCCCGCCGAGCCACCCAGACGACCTCATCAGACCAGGCCTCTTCCAAGGCAAATACGATGAATTCGGCCTAACGACTGCCATGCTCAGCTTCCATGGGAAGCATGCCAGGGTCACGAACATCACGGGATTCTCCATCAGGATGTTAGAGTTCCACCTCAGGCACCGCATCCAGCTGACAGATGGCGGGTTCTTCCGCAACTTCAACGAGCTCTCCCACGTGGTCCAGGAGATTGACCAGCAGGTGATCCGGGAGCAGCAGCAGCAGCAAGAAGACGGGACTGAGGAAAGCGAGGGCCATGGCTGGCAGAGCCCTGCCCAGCCCAGCGTCCGGGAGTCCGGGGCTGCAGCTTCGGAGGAGCAGCCTGTCCTGTTTGTTCTGCCTGTGGGCGTGCGCTCAGGAGACCAGAACTATCCCCGGACTTGTAGGATGTGTTTCTATGGTGAGGACATTGGTACCTTTGATGGCTTCGACCACCCCAGGCCCTTCCCTGGAGTCTTCATCCTGTTCGATGAGAACCACTTGGGGTTCATCTGTCTGTATATGAACTACTTCATCCTGTACAGCAGAGTCCAGAACACCTTCCAGAATGTGGAGGCACCATCCCCGCAGGCCTTCCTGGAGATGCTCAAGAACATTCAGCCCAAGACCCCCTGGGAGGTAGAACTAAACCTTAGACCAGTGGTCTCAACCTTCCTAATGCTGTGACCCTTTAATACAGTTCCTCAAGTTGTGGTGACCCCCAATTTCATTGTTATAAATTGAACATAATTAAAGCATAGAGATTAATCACACACAAAAAATAAAGACATCTTAGTTAATAAGAAAAAAATTAACAACAAAAAAATAAAATAAATAAAAAAATAAAAGCCTAATATGCTAAATGTCCAGTCATCCAGCCGTCGGTTCAACCAATCAAAGCATAATATGCTAATGATATGCTAAGCTGCGATTCTTAACCTGTGGGACGCGACCCGTTTGGCGGTAGAATGACCCTTTCACAGGGGTCGCCTAAGACCATCCTGCATATCAGATATTTACATTATGATTCATAACAGTAGCTGCCGGGGTCCAACCCCAGCAGGTCCAGGGGTCCCCAAAGGTGTGGACGGAGTCAGCGAAGAAGGAATGACATGGAGACAGCGTTCAGTTGATCAGCAGCCTAGCCAGGATCTCTAGCCAGGATCTCCAGCCAAGTTCTGGTCTGGATCTCCAGCGAAGTTCTGGTTAGGATCTCCAGCCAGGTTCTGTGTCCATGTTCTCTTGCTAGGTTCTCCAGGTTCTCCAGCCAGGTTCTGTAGCCATGTTCCCTCGCTAGGTTCTCCAGCCAGGTTCTGTGTCCATGTTCTCTTGCTAGGTTCTCCAACCAGGTTCTCCAGGTTCTCCATCCAGGTTCTGTAGCCATGTTCCCTCGCTAGGTTCTCCAGCCAGGTTCTGTCCAGGTTCTCCAGCCAGGTTCAGTCACCAGGTTCTAGTGAGGTTCTCTTGCCAATTTCTGTAGTCAGGTTCAGTCCAGGATCTTTTGCCATGTTCTCTCCAGCGAAGTTCTTCTGCTCTAGTTTCTGTGTAGGTTCTGTCTCTAGGTTCTGTGTCTAGGTTCTGTGTGTAGGTTCTGTGCGCCAGATGCCGGGGTCCAACCCCAGCAGGTCCAGGGGTTCCCAAAGGTGTAGACAGAGTCGGCGAAGAAGGAAGGACACGGAGACAGTGTTCAGTTGATCAGCAGCCTAGCCAGGATCTCCAGCCAGGATCTCCAGCCAAGTTCTGGTCTGGATCTCCAGCGAAGTTCTGGTTAGGATCTCCAGCCAGGTTCTGTGTCCAAGTTCTCTTGCTAGGTTCTCCAGCCAGGTTCAGTCACCAGGTTCTAGTCAGGTTCTCTTGCCATGTTCTATCCAGGTTCTGTAGCCAGGTTCTGTCTCTAGGTTCTTCAGCCAGGTTCTCTCGCTAGGTTCTGTCTCTAGGTTCTGTTGCCAGTTTCTGTCCAGGATCTTTTGCATGTTCTCTCCAGCGAAGTTCTTCTGTCTCTAGGTTCTGTGTAGGTTCTGTCTTCTAAGTTCTGTGTTGTTACATCTGTATTTATACCAGTTGATTCCAATCCTATCAATCTCTATTTCAAAGGTTAGGGCGTTTCTTATCTCCATTCCAGGGAGTAAAGATTATGTAGCTTAAGCATGATTGTTCGTAGTTAAAGTGATTAATTACCTGCCTGGCACTTAGTTAAGAGGTTTTATTCCCTCCCTAACTTCAGGGGAAAATCCCTACCTGGGGAAATAACCTTTCTCAGAGACCTTGGTTAAAACACATAGTGCCAAGAAGGTGAACAAACATATTAAGAACAGTATGCCATATATGCCAGGTCCCTTGAAACAGCAAGGATGGACCGGCTCCCGGCAAGTAGCAACATTACAGTTATGAAGTAGCAATGAAAATAATTTTATGGTTGGGTCACAACATGAGGAACTGTATTTAAAAGGCCAGAAGGTTGAGAACCACTGTGCTAAGGCCTCTCAACCACTCGCTATGACATTCATTGACCACCAGAAGGCAGACAGTTGACTGGCTGACCAGTCGCTATGACATGCACTGACCACCAGGGGGCAGACGCTCTGACTGGTAGATTAGCTTGCTGCTGGGGTTCAGCCGGTTGGGACTGAGCGAGACAGGCCGGACATGCCCTAAAGCCCTCCTGCGGTCCCTCCCTGGCTGGCCAACCTCTCACATGCCTCCCTGGACCCAATCGTGCACCAGTTGGGTCCCTTGGACCAGCCTGCACCCTCTTGCAATCCGGGACCTCTCAGGGGATGTCAGAGAGCCGGTTTTGGCCCGATCCTGCAGGCCAGGCTGAGGGACACCACTGGGTGCACGAATTTGTGCACCGGGCCTCTAGTTATAAATAAGGAGATATGAAATTGGCATTAAGTGAGAAGGGGGCATTTGAGCAAAAGTTGACAGAGCTGGAGACATGAGGGGCAGAGGGCTGAAAATATCTAGGGAATAGTCATTGAGGTAGAGAGTGCTGCAAATGCCTTCATGTGTTCCATACACAAGCAAGGGATGGTGTCACTGGTGCAGAGGGCACCAGAGTCACAAAATACCGGGGGCATGTGGGGTGGCACCTGAAATGCCACTGTGAGGTCTCTGGTTTTGCTGTGAGGGAGGGGAGGAGCCACTGAAGGGAAGGAGAGAAGGGGACTTGCTAGACTGATGTCCTCGAGCGGAGAGAGGGGTCTAGTGTGCACGGTTATGGGGGGGGGGGGGGTGGCTGCACATGCCAAGCTATGGAAACTCTCTTCAGATCACCTTCATTTTCCCAGTAACATAGTTGGCAAGGTCACCCACAGAAACTAAGATTTACACATAAAAATACCCAATCACTTACACATTTGCATAGATATTCTAGGACCTCCTATATATGTTACAGAAAATATGAACATCAAGGTTCAATGTCAGAAATACAACATAATGAAGTTAACCTCCTCAACAACCCAACCAGTGGAAAGGGCAGATGTTCTTAGAAATGTGCCCACAGTGACGAGTGTGACTGTCACTTGTGATTGCGATGGCACACACCCAGGCCTCCACTGACAGTCCTGATGTGTGCTGAGTTAGCTCATTCCTGAGTGTGGGGCGCGGCTATAGTGTTTTGGCCAGGTTCAAGCCTCGGACTAATGAAAGGACAGGGTCCTCTCATTGCCATGTGCAAGTCCCAGCTGGAGGGCAGGGCCCTCCCAGCACAATCATAGCCAACAGCTATAGTTGTAAGCTTGAATCTATGGTCTGAACACGTGGCCCCACGTGCCTTGTGATGGAGTTCAGGTGCATGTAGTTAAGTGAGGTTGAAACTCATGAGAATGCTGTAAACAACTTGATCACGCCCCTACTTTGCCTTGTGGCATCTGCTATAAAATAAAGACACGGCTTGTGGGCGCTGGTGCTGTCTCCTCATCAGGGAGCAGCGTCCCACCGAGACCCAGCTTTCATTCTCTTGTCTGTCTTTTCTCAATCCTTTCACCACCCCCACTCAGGATCATCTTTGGCCGTAACAAGTGGCGCCCGAGCAGGCCCCTTTGGCCGTAACACCTGAGGTCTCTACCATGGCCCAGAACAGGACACTGGCTTTAGCTACACAAGATATGAAACAGTGGAGTCTACACTCCCTAATTTCCACCAAACAAAAACAATTAAATGCTAAACTGTGACTGGTTCCTCTTTATATAGTAATCTTGGAGGAATTCTATAAAAATTATTCAAAACATGAGGAGTCTACCCTGTTCTCTTGATCATGCCTTTTCCTGTGCACATGTCCAGAGCACCCACCACTGCACAGCCACACCTCACACCCCATACCTGCAGGCACAGAGCCACACCCCACACCTGCAGGCACAGAGCCACACCCCACACCTGCAGGCACAGAGCCACACCCCACACCTGCAGGCACAGAGCCACACCCCACACCTGCAAGTACATCTATCCAGCTCCCTTTGCCACATTAACTCACTTCAGCTCAGGTTTTTATGAAGAGCCATTTCCAATCTTCACATCTGTTTAAATAGTGTGAGTATGATTTTGTTATCCTCCTCATTTGTTTTCCTTATTTCTTACAAAGAAGATAAAAAGGACAAGCCTGATATTTCTCCCAAAGACCCTCTGTGCATGTATTAGTTACACGTCTCTTCAGAAATCACTTTCTTGTCGGTGTGTAACTAAGACTCACTAACCATCTACCAAACCTTCTCAGGAGCCGCTTCTTCCCCAGCTCTCACACTGTACTCTGCAGGAGCTGCCCTAACCGTTCCTATTTTTAGCATCTTTAAATGCAGCAACAGTGTTTGCAAGTATTACCAAGGGTCTCCAAATATAATTGCATAGTATAATTGATATTTCAAGCTATGTTTTCCATGTATATTCTAACACAATCCTTGAATGTTTGCCTCAAATTTTTATCAGGCCATTGTAAGAAAGGCTACAGAAATAGTGATTAGTTCTCTAAAAGCAGCACTTACCATCCCCTTGCCACATACTGGTGATTTATATTTACATCACAGAACAACAGAACTTTTGAAAGTAACTTCATACTTTAGTTGTGTTTTATCAACTGCCCCATCTCTGCCACCATCAAATATAATCAACTGCACCATATCCAGCCTTCATAATTTCATTTATGATCCATCAAGAGATAAAATTCTTCAAGGGTTTTCTGCTGAGGCCCAAGAAAAACAGGATTTGAAAATAGATAATTAAGTAACCAACTAACCCACGGTGATTAATGAGACTAGAAATAATCGCATCCCTGCCTTTGTCCACATCATTAGAAACTTTGCCAGGCTAAAGTAAAATCACCCCCACAACATTTGGGTCCGTTAGGGACAGAACTTAAGCCTTTTGGGGTGAGAATCAATAAACACATAAAGATAGGCATCTGGTCAAAGGCTTGCTGAGGCTGTTTTTGTCCGTCCTGTAGAGACGACATATTTTAGAACACCAGACTCACATCTGGGCCGGCAGAGGTTTTTAATTAGCGTTCCAGCCTAACAGCAATAATGGAGAGAGCAGAACTCAGGTCACCACTTAGTGTGTTTTGGATCCTTTGAAAATGGACTTTTGTTCTCTTTTGAGCTGTGTCATTGAACGCCCTGGCATCCCTCCGCAGGAGTTTCGAAGGATGGCCAATCAGCTGTGTCACGAACAGTTTCTCATTAGCGATAGCAGGATATTGACTGGGGTGGCAATGGCTTGACAGAGGTCAAGGGAAAGTTTTGGGGCCATGAGCTTTCCATTCCATTCTCAAGCGATTAGTCTCTCAACATTTTAGTTTGATCATTATCTTTCTACCACAGATATTGGAAAAACCCCTTTTGAAAACTTTGTTGCAGCTTCTCCAGAGGAAATGGATGAAAGATCACTGATCAATGATCATTTCTACCAGGAATCAGCTCTTTCGCTTCCAGCTGAAGCTCAGAAAATGCATCAATTACAAAACTCTTGGATTGCCGGCAACTGGACGACTTTAAACCCGAAGTTGTTTTTCTACAAGGAGCATCATATTCTGAATTCCTCTTCACAGACTCTTTCTTACCCTTTCTGACATAACTCTTTCTTTAATAGTGAAATGCTGTCCCTGAAAATAATAGCTGAAAAAGTCTCCCGCTCCCCCAAATAGCTAGATCGCTCCAGGCCCCTCAGCACCAGCTACCCTAAATAAAGAATCCTCAAGTAATTTCACAAACCCCAACAAGAGGGTCAGTCTGACTTCTCAAATCCCCTCTGCTGAATATTTTTACACATCCATACCAGAAATAGTTGATTCCTGCTTTTTTTTACATAGTATTTTAAATCAGGAGAAGCCATAAGTGCTATGTTTCCAAATTTAAGAAGAAAGATCAGTGTATCCTAAAATGTTGTAGAAATAACTTTTACTCCAGAAACACCAAGCAGAAGAGCAGCTTTCTAACTGCATTTCAGGAAACCCTCAGATTCTTCTGAATTAGCTGGAACAACAATCTCCAGGAGGAAACAGGTAAGAGGAAGCTGGGAGATGGAGCTTCAGGACCCTCCCTCTCTCGCTCTACCCAAGAACTCCATGGGTGATGGACAAAACATTTACAATTGGGTCCCCTAGGTGCTCCCAATCAGCACACACACCATATCTATAGGTGTTCAGCCTGCCATCAGCCCTAAGCAAACCCGCCTCATTGATGATATGTACTGGAGATGAGGTTCTAAGTAAAGTTAGTTCTTAAACCGTGTTCGTTGTTAAAAGAAAATGTTTATAAACCATTTGTGTACAAGAAGAAATGTCCCCATTTTAACCTATCACAATTGAGCTGCTCAGCACCTGTAGAAGCTCAGTACTTGTCACATGGCATACAATCAATTTCCTCCACTAATTGATAAAGTGATGGTTCCAGAAGCAGAAAGGGATTTTTTTGTAATCCAACTAACTCAATGGCTCCTATGATACTTGACGACCCTCCTCCACATCCCCATCAGGTAGCAACTAAGTCTACAGTCAGCTTCTGAGACGGAGACATTCTATGGATAAGAAATAATGAAGAAAAGCTCCGAAGGTAGAAACTTATCACCCAAAGAAGGTTATCTGGTGACTTCATTTTTAGGCTACATCTCAGACTCCTCAAAAATCCATGCCAATTTTATGAAAATTGATATATGCATAAATTGTCTCATGCTTATGTTCACAAACACACACACACACACACTATATTTGACCTTCATCCTTGCTGCAGTACTGAAAAAACCAATATGCTTGAATAATATGCTCTTGAAAATTGGTTTTATCGAAAGTATAAAATAAAATGTAAGAAATCAATACTTAAACAGATTGCAAGACTCAGTGGCAAGGTATCTCTTGTCATATGCATGCATAAATTTAGAGAAAAGCCAGTTATCCTGTTAGAACTCCTAATAGTACTTGGATCTTACAATAGAATCTTTTAACTCATTTTACCTTCTAAACCTTTAATTTGACAAGACAGAGAATTAGAAACAGCTGAAAGTACTGTAGTGTAGTCATATTACAATTTTGAAATTGTCAAAAAACAGAAGCACACAATTTTACTCTTTTTAAGGCAATTATGAAAAAAAAAAAAGAAGAAGCAGCCCTAACCAGTTTGGGTCAGTGGATAGAGCATCGGCCTGTGGACTCTAGAGTCCCAGGTTCGATTCCAGTCAAGGGCATGTGCCTTGGTTGCAAGCACATCCCCAGTGGGGAGTGTGCAGGAGGCAGCTGATCAATGTTTCTCTCTCATCGATGTTTCTAACTCTCTATCCCTCTCCCTTCCTCTCTGTAAAAAATCAATAAAATATATTTTTTAAAAAAGAAGCAGTTATTGTAATTCACTCTTCGCTCTGCATGATAATTATCAAGAGAATAAAACATCAGATGGGAACTTCTCTGGTAGTTATCAAAACAATTTTGTAAGTTCTAGTATATTTAATTTTGATTATTTTTCCTACCATTTATCTCATTTTTTTATCCTCACCTGAGGATATTCTTTTAATTTATTTGAGAGAGAGAGAGAGAGAGAGAAACATTGATATGAGAGAGAAACAGCAATTGTTTGGCTCCCATGTATGCCCCAACAGTGGATTGAATACATAACCTGACCAGAAATCAAACCCCCAACCTTTTGATGTATGGGACGATGCGCCAACCAACTGAGCCACCCAACAAGGGCTATCTAATTTCTTAAAATAGCTTTTCAACAAACCTAAAGATTATACTCTACATTTCTTTAGAGACATTCTTAAATTTTAAAAATAACTTCAGTGAAACTTTTTTAAAACAATAATTTTATCATCCATTTTACTCCTCCAATGTAAATATACAGTTTCTGTATCTTAGCATCTTGGAAAACTGATCATTTTCAAGGTTTTATAGGTTTATAATCAATAGGATTCCAGAGGAGAAACAAATCTATAAGGTTTTCTAGTGGGTCGGCCTGTAAAAGTCTTTTTAAGTATAAAACCTCCTCAATTTATTTGTAGGCTTTCACCCTAAGACAGGGGGAAGTACTGGATGACCAGTAAAGGCTTTTCTTCCCCCTAGATCTATGTAACAGCTAAGAACTAAAATGAGAAGACTTCCCCAAGAACAGAAATTTGCAACTGGTATTTGCATTCTGGAACTGCCCGTTGGAAGCCCGGTCCCTCTTGTTCAAAGACTGAAAGTAAAACATATTGTTAATACCACTGCCAATTTGAGCACTCTGGAATTTTATTAAGTAGCTCTATAATAAAGAAATAGTGTTTAAAACATTATCCAAATGTGCTCAGGTATCTACATATTCGAGAATAATTTAAATATTGAGACAAATTATGACCAGTCTTCAGGAAACTCTATCAAGACTCTTGGAGACAGATATTTATCAAAAGAGCCCATGATTCCTGGGCAGTGTAGCTCAGTTGAGCATCGACCTGTGAACCAGGAGGTCATAGTTCGATTGCCGGTCAGAACATATTCCCAGATTTCAGGCTCAATCCCCAGTAGGGGGCATGCAGGAGGCAGCCGACCAATGATTCTCTCTCATCATTGATGATTTTGTTTGTTTGTCTTTTTTTTTAATCCTCGCCCCGAGAATATTTTTCCCTTGATTTTAGGGAGAGTGGAAGAGAGTGAAAGACAGAGTGAAACATCGATGTGAGAGAAACACATAGATTGGTTGTCTCTTGCAAGAGTCCTGACAAGGGCCCGGGCCAGGGAGGAGCCTGCAACCAAGGTACATGCCCTTGATTGGAATCAAACCTGGGACCCTTTGGTCCACAGGTGGATGCTCTATCGACTGAACCAAACCAGCTGGGTTCATCATTGATGTTTATATCTCTCCCTCTCCCTTCCTCTCTGAAATCAATAAAAATATTTTTTTCAAAAAAGCCCAGGGTCTGAGTGCTTGACCAAAAGTAGAATAACCAATGACTGTTTTCCTGCAAATTCCCCTAATAGTGGGTCATGGGGTGGGAACAGATGGGCATTCATCTAAAACCCTGAACATGCAAAATAAAATTTTTGGTGTTGTTACAAGTAGTTCTCTGGGTTTCCTTTCCTGTGGGTCAAGAACTATCCCCATCCTACAAATAATCGTTGAGAGACTGATTCTGGAAACTCTACCAGATGTAAAACAAAACCATGGTTGGCCTTGACACTTGTCATTTTGTCCTTCAGTTTACATGTGATAGACCAAGTTCACCCATCTTAAAATAGATTGTCTGACAGCTTAAATTAGGAGAGTTTGGCTGAACAAACTCCTAAACAAACACATCATATTGGAGCAGATATCAGCTACTGACCATGCAACCCTGGCTGCTCACCCAACCCCAAAAGTCCTCTACATGTCTGTAGGAATAATAATGTACTGTCTCACAGCATCACTGGGCAAAGATTTAATGTACCTGAAACCCACTTGTTTTTATATTTTAAATATTATATTATTAAATGGGTGGAACTCTACAGCAACATTTTATTGAATATCTCACAGCATAGTGGCCTCATCTTCTGTTTTGTAATTAAAAATAAAATGGTTATATGGCCATTATAAAGAGGCAACTACAACCCTATTGAAGCGGCTGCGGTGTGTGAGATGGTTTGAATGGCTGGAGCTCACCCAGGTGGTTCAGCCGGCTGAGGAGAAAGTTCGTGGAGAGGGACAAGGTGGGATGTGCCAGCTCTGATTTTAAACAAGTTGCCTTCCTATCTGTCCTTGATGTTATACCCTTTCTTACTTAAAAATAAAATGTTGGAGTCAAGTCAATGCCGTTAGAATAAGCTGATAATTCTCTGTGTTCGTATTTTTCAAAGCTTCTTTCAAGAGCCTTATGAAAAGCACCCTTGATTTTCCATTAAAATTCAATTTGTTGATTTATGTATTTCAAGATGGGACTTCAGAGATCATTTTAAGAAATCAAAAGCTCTATTTTTTTGAGACATGGTTCTCTGAAAAGCCTGATCTATTGGGTACATACTGATTTTCAAATTTGGTTGCTGTTTCCCTTAAAATATATAAATTCCCTAAGATTAAGAAAAAAGTATTCCTGCATGGGTTCACTTTGAAGACAGACCTTTTCAATATTATAGTCTTAAAATGGCAAATTCATCTTTTAGCTGATCTAAAGAATTCAAAGGATGTTAACATATGCTTTTTTCAAGATCATAAATGTTTCCTTTTTCACACAAGGATCAGAAGAAAATCTTGATTGCCAAAAATACTTTTTAAATTCTACTATATATGTATAGATTGTGGGAGAAGAAAAGGTCATGAAATTTTTGACAAGATAAAACAGATGAAAGAACACACTTCAGATTCAAGGTAGTTGTGGCCACTCTGTGAACATTAAGTGCCCCAATTAAATGTCATCATCCTCTTGGGTCACTGTTCACATTGGAGAGTTTCATTTCTTTTGTAGGATCCATAAAAGAAAATGGGTGCCTCAAAAGGTTCCTTGGCCTGAATGAGTCTTCAGAGGAAGATGCCTATGAGGAAGATTATGTGCTCAAGAAAGAAAACCAAATCATGAAGGTAAGGCAGGAACATCAAATGTAGTTGTAGAAATGGATTTCTAGGCTCCTAAAGACATATTCTTTCCTGAGAGTTATAGTTATAAAAAAGGGGGGGGGGGCTCCCCTAGAGGTGAACTTGTTTAGTCCTGATTCCAACAAACAACCTCTAAAAAAAAAAAAAAAAAACAAAAAAAAAAAACCATGTATAAGGCAATTGGGGAAAATCTGAATACTGATTGGTTGTTTCCTGACATTAAGGAATAGTTGCAACATTTTAGGTGTGATCATAGTATAGTATTTTTTTGTTTAAAAAAAACTTTACTTTTACGCACCAAAAATATTAAGATACCTAGGAATAAGCTTAACTTATTAAGGAGTAAAAGACCTATACATGGAAAACTATAAGACACTGAAAAAAGAGATAGAGGAAGACATAAACAGATGGAAGAACATACCGTGTTCATGGATTGGTAGAATCAACATCATTAAAATGTCCATACTACCCAAAGCAATCTATAGATTCAATGCATTCCCCATTAAAATACCAAGGGCATATTTCACAGACCTAGAACAAACCTTCCAAAAATTCATCTGGAATAAAAAAAGAAGCTGAATAGCTGCAGCAATCCTGAGAAAGAAGAACAAAGAAGGTGGGATCTCAATACCAGATATCAAGCTGTATTACAAAGCCACGGTTCTCAAAACAGCCTGGTACTGGCACAAGAACAAACATACAGACCAATGGAATAGAATAGAGAACCAAGAAATCAACCCAACCCACTATGCTCAATTAATATTTGACAAAGGAAGCATGAACATACAATGGAGTCAAGACAGTCTCTTCAATAAATGGTGTTGGGAAAATTGGACAGATACTTGCAAAAAAATGAAACTAGACCACCAACTTACACCATACACAAAAATAAACTCAAAATTGACAAAGGACTTAAACATAAGACGGGAAACCACAAAAATACTAGAGGAATCCACAGGCAGCAAAATCTCAGACATATGCCGAAGCAATTTCTTCACCGATACCACTCCGAGAGCAATGGAAACTAAAGAGAAAATAAACAAATGGGACTACATCAAAATAAAAAGCTTTTGCACAGCAAAAGAAACCATCAACAAAACAACAAGAGAACCCACTGCATGGGAGAACATATTTGCCAATGTTATCACTGATAAGGGTTTAATCTCCAACATTTATAGGGAACTCATACAACTTAACAAAAAGAAGATAAACAACCCAATCAAAAAATGGGCAACAGACCTAAATAGATTCTTTTCGAAAAAAGACAGAAGGAAGGCCAAGAGACATATGAAAACATACTCAAAGTCACTAATTATCCGAGAGATGCAAATCAAAATGACAATGAGGTACCACCTCACACCTGTCAGAATGGCTATCATCAACAAGTCAACAAACGACAAGTGCTGGCAAGGATGCAGAGAAAAAGGAACCCTTGTGCACTGCTGGTGGGAATGCAGACTGGTGCAGCCACTGTGGAGAACAGTATGGAGTTTCCTCAAAAAACTAAAAATGGAACTCCCATTTGACCCAGTGATCCCACTTCTAGAAATATATCCCAAGAAACTAGAAACACCCATCAGAAAGGATATATATACCCCTATGTTCATAGAGGCACAATTCACCATAGCTAAGATTTGGAAACGGCCTAAGTGCCCATCAGCAGATGAGTGGATTAAAAAACAGTGGTACATCTACACAATGGAATACTATGCTGAGGTAAAAAAGAAGGAATTCTTACCATTTGCAACAGCATGGATGGAACTGGAGACCATTATACTAAGCGAAATAAGCCAGTCAGAGAAAAATAAATATCACATGATCTCACTCATTTGTGGAATTTAATGAACAACATAAACTGAAAACAAAAACAGATCCAGAGACAGAGAAGTATTAATCAGACCATCAAACCTCAGAGGTAAGGTAGAGGAGGGTGGGGGTAAGGGGAGAGATCAACCAAAGGACTTGTATGCATGCATATGAGCCTAATCAATGGACACAGACACCAGGGGGATGAGGGCATGATTGGGGGGGGGGGACAATGGGGGGATAAGGACACATATGTAATACCTTAATCAATTAAGAATTTTTTAAAAAAAACTTTGATTTTAGGGATACCTACTGAAGCATTTAAGAAGGAAATGCTATGATGTCTGAGATTTGCCACAAAATAATCCCCTGAAGGAGGAAAGCAGGAAGGATGTGTTTGGGGATTTAGATGAATCAAGATTAGTCATATGCTCATAATCGCTGAAGCTGAGTGATGGGACTTAGGGAGTCAAATATTACCTCTAATTATATAGATGTTTGCAAGTTTTATTAATAAAAGTTTTTTTATAAATATTATCTCTTCTCTAGCATGGTCCCCTATGATAAATATTACATTTCAATTTGAAACACCTTAAATGTGTTTGTAATTTCAAGCCTTTAAATTTTGGACTGGGATAATATTATATAAATCTCCTCCGTATGGCAGCCTACCATTCCTAGCAGGTCAATCGCAAAAGAGTGTTCACATTGCTTTCACCCTAAAAATTAGCATGGCTTCCCATTATCTATTGTATGGTGTACTTGCAAGTATATAGTACAGTATGTGATTCATATATTACAACTCGCAAATGATTTTATTAAAATCTATTTGTATATGAATACAGATGGATGTTATGATCTGTAAAAATATATAAAGATATTCCTATCTCAAGAAATGCAAGGAGACAAACACCATTTAGATGGATTTGGGACACAATTCATTGAAAGCCCATGAACCATAAACTCTCTCTCCTGAATGCCTCTTCACCTTCTTGCTTCATCATCCATTAAAGTGAAGCTTTTAAAAGAGACAACAGCACTACCAAGAACTGTCTGCTCAGGTTTTATTTTATGTTCTGATTCAACTTTGAGAGTACCTTTGGCACTGAAGAAAAGTCACCAACACGGTGCTGAGGTGGCTGCACCTTCCTTCAGGTTTAACTCTTGTGAGAAGGTGACAAGTTAAGATAAGGCGTGGTCACTGGGGAATGTGATGGAAATACCAGCTCACAGGACAGAGTGGGCTGGAAGAACTTGATAGGAAAGTTGTTTCAGTGGCTTTCAGACTGTTAACTCTCCCTCCTGTTCACGTTTTCATTTGCATCCAGTCATCCTGATTCTGTGTTTCTCTCTCTCTCTCTCTCTTTTTTTTCAGTTGATTTTTCTATTTAAGAATAGCTCCAGTAGGTATATAATCTTACATTGGTTACCCGTATATTCGTTTCAAGTGCATAATACAGTGATTCGACATTTTTATACCTTACAATGTGATCCTTCTTAACCAGTTTCTTATTTGGGGGTAAGTATATTCAAAATTAAAGCTTGATGTTCAGCAATAAAGAAAATAAAAGATGTGGACTTCAGAGTAACTAAAATTTAATTTAAATCTGTATAGCGCCCATCTACATAAAAAGTGAAATCATAAATGCCATCAAATCATTTCAAAGTGTGCAACTTCCCCCTATTTTTCCCTGACTTGCTTAAGGTTCCCGTATTTTATATACTTTAATGCTGCCATTAGAAAAGAAATCCTAGTGGATGCCACCGCATGTTGAGATTTTAGATGAGAACCAAATAAAGGGGCCAGTCTTAAAATGGAACTGAAAACCTGAGTATTTTCAATAATTGTGTGCTATAGTTATACCTCCTGATTTCAAACAGACTAATTCTCGAGGCAACTCTCACAGTTATGAATGGGAGAAGGAAGCTCGTCATGCTCCATTTTGCATGCAATGGAGCCTAGGAAACGGATGTGTTGTTTTCACTTCTCCCCATGTTGCAAGTAACTGCAGGAAACAAACTGTTGGGATGCGTCAGGTAATCAATAACTTGTACATTAAAACCTCAGTATCTCTCTATGTAGCCGCAACACATTTCATCACTGCCACCAGCCCTGTGTAATTCTAGAGAGCACAGTGCACTCCTCAATGAATATTTTATGCTTCTTTAGAGGTTTATTTCTATTACCTCTAAAATACCTGGGAAGTAGTCTCTTTATTGTTCTTCCCGTTGTAAACCATGGCAGTAGCCATTAGTATGGTGCTTATCTCCTTCCTCAGAATAAATGTGATTTTTGTGAAACTTGGTTTAACATATAAATAGAGGTGAATTTTTATTTAGCCCTGATACCTGTTTCCCAAGGGCTCCTTAGTGGTTTTTGTCTTGTGGAAATGGTTTGAATTCTCAAGAGCGCCTCGGAGGAGTTCCCGTAATGGCATTGTTGGTGAAGAGTGTCTTGTCACATTCATTTGTAAAGGTTTAGTGATGAATATGGAAAGAGTGAGTCTGGTCCTTTTGCCAAGGTTTTCCTAAATGCCTGTCACATTCAAGCAAAGGAACAAACCCGAAACCACACAAAGTAAAATAAGATTAAGCCTAACTTGCCCTTTGATTTCAAATAATGCAATCAAAATAGAAACAGATAACTTTTTTTTTTTTTTTCACTAGAAGACCTACTCTATTTGCTCAGACCAGAGCTCTCTGGCGGGTCTCGCACGAAACTAACAATGACTGCTGCATTGCAAAGCCACTTCTGGCTATTTATCATTCATTTGGAATTTTTATTTATGATAATAAAAAACAAACTATTTGGCCTTTATGTCTTGATTTTTTTAAAATTCCACATAATTATTTTACTTGACAAATATTTGATGGCAAGTAAACTAAAATGACTGGGGTCCCCAATGCTATTCCTCTTTTTATGCGTGCATTCACGCTACAAAACATAGCTGGAGGAGGCACACAGCTCTCATTCATTAAGCTGGAAGCATATTGTCCGGGCAGCAGGATGGGGTGGTAATTTACTATTCACAGCCAGGAAAGACACTCTTTACCACACAGATTTGCAGCTTTTAACCTGAAGACTTAATAGCAAAGGCAATCTGCTTTATTTGTTTCCCTTCAAACCCACAAGAAAGCAATATCTACCTTGTTACAAAACGGAGCAGGCCATATTTTAT